GCGCGATGTCGGTCCAGCGGGGCCGGCCCAACGAGGGCAGCGCGGGGGGGCCGGGGCCCTCAGAAGACGCGTTGCGAGCAGAAATCGGAGAGATGGATGTTGGAGACCCTTTGAAGGAGAAGAAAGAAGCCCCCCATGTAGTCGAGAAATCCGTCCTCAAGACTTTTCCACACATTTGCATCAGATGCCATATCCACCCATTGGTTGTCGTTTTCATATTCTGTAGCTGTTTTTAGATATGGCAATATGTCGTCGTTCCAAGTCTTCCGTTGACCGCCGCGTCGTCGTTCTGCTCGTCGTGCGTCGTGGTCTCGTCCATCTGTCGTGACTGTGAGTTTCGACTCGAGCTGCGTAGTTCCATTTTTAAGATATATGTGTGTCCAATTTTGCACATGCATGCGCTCGGCCATACTCATGGAAGTGCGTGTGTTCCTGCGTATGAAATCCACCCAGGGTTGCAGGTCGTCGTCTCTGCTGCGCGGTCCAAATTCGTGCTGGTCACCAGTGTCGTCGGTTGTGCCGTTGGTATCGGGTGCTGCGTTGTTCTCCCTGTCGGAGCCGTCTTCTCGGCGCGCCCACGACCAGACGAATCATCTTCCGTTGTGTCCTCTGCAGCGCGAGGAGCATGTCTTTAGTGAGAGTCCATGAGCAGCATCCATACATAACGCAAGGCGTGATTGTGCCGTTGAGAAGTCGTCGTCTACTGTGCAAAGAGAACCGTTTGTTCGTGAGTTCATTCCGTAGCTGGTTGAACTTCGCCCACCCTGCGGCGATCCTGTTTGCTAGCTCGTACTCGTGGAAGTTGTGGAACGACAATTTTCTGCCTAAGTATTTTGTGCTCTGGTCGTTGTGCAAGATATCGATACGTGCGTCGTCCAACTTGATGTGCGTTATGGTTCTACCCATCCTCCGGCTAACCTTCGTCAGGATATTGGTCTTGTCGGGGCGTAGTGAAAGTCCGCAGAGTGCCGCCTGATTTTTCAAGTCGCGTAGCAGACAGGTAAGCTGGCGTAGGTTCGGGGCGTACAGCAGGACATCATCTGCGAAGCGCAGGTTGGTGATGCTACTCTCATGTGCATAACCAAGCCTGATGCCAAACCGTTTTGGGGGCCACTTGGTTTTGAGTTGTCGGAAAATGTATTCCAAAAGCGAATTAAACAAGAATGCGCTGAAAGGGTCTCCTTGCTTCACTCCCCGCTGTATGTCAAAATGCCGGCTGTTAGTGTCTGTTCTGACTGTGGCTGTCTGGTCGCTGTACATTTGTTGTACGAAATCAATAGATGCAGCAGGGATGTGCTGCTGCCGCAAAGCTTCCCAAAGTTTACCATGGCTCACGCAGTCGAGCGCTTTCTTAAAGTCTGCTGCGGCTGCCCAGAGTGGCAGCTGCCAACGATATGACTGTTCGTACAATACTGCCGTAGTGAATAAGTGGTCTTCCGTGCTGTAGCCACGCCTGCAACCAGCTTGGTCGGGGCTTTGTTGTGCGTCGAATGCTGCCTCAAGCCGATTGCACATGAGGCGAGACATAAGCTTGTACAACAACGGGATGATGGCAATTGGTCTGTAATTTTGTGGTAGTTTGGGGTCTCCGGACTTGCATATAACCGTGATCTTCGTGCTTTTCCATTGGTCGGGTGGCAGCTGGTTTGGTGTGATAATGTCGTTGTAGAGCTGCAGCAAGTACTCCTCAATGGTCGTGCCTCCTGACTTTAGCAGTTCTGCTGTGAGGCCAGCAGTGTCGCTGCACTTGCCATTTTTCAGCTGTTTGATGGCTTTCCGTATTTCTTCCATCGTGAATGGCGGTATGTAGGCAAGGACCCCAGAGGCTCTTTCATTGATGGCAAGGACCCCAGAGGCTCTCGAACGACCCCGAGACGGCCGCAAGAATGCCACCAGAGAGCCCGAAGAGGACTCCCGGCTGATCGAGATGAGTGGAGACAAACAGTTTCTCAGAAGAGGTTCGCGGGAAGTCCTTGGTGGCCTCCAGGGCTGTCTTGGGGGTCAGCTGGGGCTGGTTGGCGGTCATCCTGGGGAGCTCTTGGGCGGCCTCGGGACCTTTGCGCCATTCTGGGGCCCCACTGATATGTTTCTCTTTGGGCCTTCCGTGGCCATGCTGGGCCACGGAGGCGGGTAGGCCGAAACCCGGTGCAGCCATTGAATCGTCAGTGTGGGGGTCAAGATCTCCAGGGGAGATCGCAGGGTCGCCAGCGTCCAGCATTGCATTGAGGTGTTGCTCCAGGGGTCGTACAGTGGGGGAGGTCGGACCATAGAATGGTTGAACATCGGCCAACGGCTGAGGCTCAGACACCTGGACCAGGTCGAACCTCCTGCAAGGTGGACATGGGGAAACAACGACTATATATATATATATATGAATATATATATACACACTTAAAAAGGCTCATGACCGGTGAATTGGAGGGACATATCAGAGATCCAACCATGCCAGCATCCCGTAGGATGGAGACGATATGTGATTCCTCCTCTCGCAATGAGAAAATACTAGCACCGTCAACGTCAACACCTTGCGAACCGAAAGGGCAGATGTAGGGATGAGGAGAGAGGTACGGACATCACCGTCGTCGTCGTCGTCGTCATCATCAACCACATCAGCATCATCCTTAGCATCATCATCACCAAGACCATCACCGTCACCATCCCCATCTCCATCATAATTATCAACATCATCATCATGATCATCATCAACACCATCATTACAACCGTCACAATCCTCATCATCGTCATTATTATCAGCATCATCATCACCACCATCATCATCACCATCATCATCATCATCAACATCATCAACAACATCAGAATCATCCTCATCCTCATCCTCATCCTCATCATCATCGCCACCTTCATCATCACCACCACCATCATCATCATCAGCGTCAGCATCATCATCATCACCACAACCATCATCATCATCACCATCAACATCAGTTTCCTCAACATCATTGTCGTCATCATCCTCAACAGCATCATCAGCAGCATCGTCGTCGTCAGCCTCATCAGCAGCCGCAGCCGCATCAGGATCAGCATCAGCATCCGCAACATCGTCATCATCATCACCATCATGAGTAGTGTCATCATCAACATCATCGCCATCATTCTCATAACCACCATCGTCATCTTAATCATCATCATCGTCATCGTCATCGTCATCCTCATCATCATCGTCATCGTAATCATCATTCCCACCACCACCACCATCATTCTCATCATTATTACCATGATTATCATCATGAGCACCGTCATCATCATCATCATCATCATCATCATCATCATCATCATCATCATGATTATCATTATCATTACCAGCATCATCACCATCACAATCATCATCACCATCACCATCGCCATCACCATCATCATCATCATCATCACCATCACAATCATCATCAACAGCATCGTCATCAACATCATCCTCATCATCATCCTCATTATCATTCACCTCATCAATCTCCTCCTCATCATCATAGTCATCATCACCATTACCATCGGCACCCGCATCACGATCCTCATCATCATCATCACCATCCGCATCATCATCATCATCATGATCCGCATCACCATCCTCATCACCACCAGCATCGTAATCCTCAGCATCATCATCATCATCACCACCACCGTCATAATCATCACCACCATCGCCATCATCATCGTCATCATCATCGGCATCGTCACCATCACCATCATCATCACCATCACCATCATCACCATTCTCATCCTCATCCTCATCATCATCCTCATCACCATCCTCATCAGCATCGTCATCCGCATCCTCATCGTCATCCTCAACCTCGTCGTCCTCCTCACCATCCTCATCAGCATCACCATCACCATCACCATCGCCATCACCATCATCATCAGCGTCAGCATCATCAACATCATCATCACCACCACCACCACCATCATCCTCAGCATAATCAGCATCAGCATCATCACCATCACCACCATCACCATCATCATCATCATCAGCATCAGCATCAGCATCAGCATCATCAGCATCAACATCAGCACCAGCACCAGCACCAGCAGCAGCACCAGCATCAGCATCAGCATCAGCATCAGCATCAACATCACCACCATGATCATCACCATCATCACCATCATCACCATCACCATCACCATCACCATCACCGTCACCATCACCATCACCATCACCATCACCATCACCATCATCATCATCATCATCATCATCATCATCATCATCATCATCATCAGCATCATCATCATCAACAACAACAACCACCAGAAACCGAATCACCACCGAAAGCGATATAATCAAACCTGCACCTGCTCCCCCTCTTCCTGTTCCTCCTCCGGCTCCTCCTCCTCCTCCTCTTTCCTCCTCCTCCTCCCTTCTCCTCCTCCCTCTAAATGGGGTACGGCTGAGCGCTCATGCCCCCGTCCGACGACGACCTCATCCCTCCTGCCTCCTGCCTCCTGCCTCCTCCCTCCTGCCTCCTGCCTCCTCTCCCTCCTCCCTCCTCCCTCCTCCCTCCTCCCTCCTCCCTCCTCCCTCCTCCGGTAAGGGGACAAAAAAGTGAAACCCCTTCGTCTTCGGCCCCGCATTCGCTCGCCCCCCCCCCCCTCCCCCCAATTTCAAAGTTGGGTTCGGCCTCTCGGAGGCCCTGGGGGCTCCACTTTTTCTGTCCTCTCACGCCTGTGCTGCCAAATGCTTGAGGCCAACTTTGAAATTGGGGGGGGGGCGTGGTGTCAAGGGTTCCACTTTTTTGCCCATCTACGGTCCACTCCTCCCTCCCCTCCTCCTCCTCCCTCCCTCTCCCTCCTCCCTCCCTCCCTCCTCCTCCCCCTCCTCCCTTCCTCTCCTCCTCCTCCTCCTCCTCCTCCTTCCTCCTCCTCTGCTCCTGCTCCTGCTCCTGCTCCTGCTCCTGCTCCTGCTCCTGCTCCTGCTCTTCCTCCTCCCTCCTCCCTCCTCCTCCTCCTCCCTCTTCATCTTCCTCCTCCTTCCTCTCCTCCTCCGTGTCTGCTCCTCGACCGTGCCCTGCTCGGCTTCGGGCTCGGCCTCGCCGACCTCCGCCCCGAACTCCGCCTGTGGCGGTGCAGGGAAGCGCCGCCCGACATCTGGGGGCAAGGAGCGGCGGGCTCCGTGGCGGCCGCCGGGGGCTCGCGCCGTGGACGGATGGACCGATGCTGGGCGGGAGGGCCCTCCAGTCGGCGCGCTAAAGGCTCTGGAGCTCGTCCCAAGAATGACGGGCAAGTGGTGGGCCCGCCAAGAAGCGGATGCCAAAGGACGCGAGGCGACGCTTGAAATGAACATGCAAAGCAAGATGCGCCAGACAGTGGCACGCCGAAACGATAAGACACTCCTTGAAATCATCCGCGGGCCGCCGAGAGCATCCGAAGCAACACAAAGACATCATGCGAACCGATACGGCACGGAACAGTTGGGGGCCTCCGAGAGCGAGCGAGTCCGATGGACGCGTCGGCGGCGCGCCGAGGGGGGAAGCGAGAGGGGGCAGGCCTTCCCCGAAGGCGGCGGGGCTCCTCAGAAGGCCATCTGGGCTTCCGAGAGGCCCTCCGTGGCTTCGAAGAGGGCTTGGGAACCTTCTCACAAGGCCCGAGGCCTTCCGAACCTTCCGAGCCTTCCGAGAAGGCCTGCCCTCTCCGCCTCCCCCCGCTCGGCGCGCCGCCGACTCAGCGCCCCCCCCCCGCTGGCTCTGCGCTCCACCTCGGAGCCCCCGGAGCCCTCTGGGCCTCAACGGAGGGGCACTCTGGAGGCCGTGGGTCCCTTGAGATCATCGGGGCACCCTGCCTCCTCAGATCGGGGGAGGGCCAGTGAAGAAAACGGCGGCTGTCCCGCCCAGCTCAGATCTGCTCAAAGTGGGTCCCCAGACTCCTCCCGAGGTCCATCTTGGCCAGTCTTTCGACGCGGATCCAGCCGTGGTGACGTGAAGCCTCCCGGTGGCCCAGACAGGACGAAAAACTGCAGGGAGGACCGCCGATGTCTTGCCGTGTCCTCCTCCGATTAGAGCCCCCTCCACACCACGGCGCGCATCCACTGGAGGGCGCCATCGGTGCGCCTGCGCTGACCCTCGCCAGGCGGGTGTGCACTTCGGGCCTCCTGGCGGATCGGCGCAGGATTGGCGTCCTCCGGAGGAGACGCGCCGCAAGGGGAAGGCGCAGGAGGACAGGTTGGGGCAGGACGCCGAGTACGTGCCGTGCGCGCGCGGCCACGCGCCCCGAGGACTCAGCGGAACCTGATCAGCCCATCTCGCCAACGGGCGTTCGCGTGCTGTGCCCATCGGGATCCCAGCTTTGGGCTCCTCGTGCCCAGCGCTCGAGGATCCAATTCCGTGGACGCTCTGAAGGGAACGGGGGGCGGCCTTCTAAGATCTCCCTGCCTCCTTGGGAGGCAGCACCTCTCCCCCTCTCCGCGACGCCAGAACCACCCCAACCTCGAATCCTGGCCAGCACCAGCAAGCAAAAATCGAGACTCCCCGCCTGCCGCAACAGTTGGCCTCGGGCCCCTAGACACCCAAATTATTGAAACCCTTAAGCCCTTGAACCCACGCCACGGACCATGAACCCCTTTGAACATCTTCTAAGGATAAGCCCTTAAACCCTGAAGCCCTTAACCCCTCAAACCTTTAGACGCCTAAGCCCTGGAGTCCGTGACCTCTTCAGCCCTTTGATCTCTTGCACCCTGATGCCCTTGAACCCTCAAATCCTTGAACATTCGCAATAAAATCCCTGGACAAACCTGGCGCACATTCAAGCGCGAGCAACCGTGTCAGCTTCTGGAATACATGCGCAAACATAAGCAAATAATGCGGTTTTAGGATATCCTAACATCGCCACACGGTAACATTATTTGGCCGGTTGCAATCAGTGCCAGTTCGTCTTTTCGAGCCGGTTGGACAATGTACCAGTCGGTTGGGATTAGTCTCAGTCGGTTGAAATGAAAGCCGCGCGCGGTCCGGACCCCCCCCCTCCAAGGAAAATCAGCGGGGGCGCTACGGCCCCGAAGGTCCGGACCCCCCTCCGCCCCCCCTCGAGAAAATCATTGAGGGGGCTCAGAGCCCGCCCCCCCAGCGACGACGACGACGACGTCAGCGGCGGCGGCGGCGCGCCTGTCGCCAGCGCCCGCGCCAGGCGCCGGCTCTCATAGAATGCTACTCGGGCTCGATCCAGCTCTCACAATGTCCTACTAAGGTCCTACTGTGCTCTATCCTACTCTACGCTACCTTACGCTACTCTACTCTTCTCTACTCTTCTCTACTCTGCTCTACTCTAACTAACTACTCTGCCACACTCTACTCTGCCCTACTCTACTCTACACTACAGTAACCCAACATACTCAACTCTACTCCGTTTTGCTCTTACTCTACTCTACTCTACTCTGCTCTACTCTACTCTACTCTACTCTACTCTACTCTACTCTACTCTACTCTACTCTACTCTACTCTACTCCCTCTCTGCTCTACTCTATTCTACTCTACTTAACTCTACTCTGATCTCATCTCCTCTATTGTGCTCTACTCTATTCTGCTCTACTCTACTCTGCCCTTTTCTACTCTCCGACTCGGACTCGGACCTGCAAGTGTCGCCAGCGTGGGCGTCGCAGGTGGGCGCCGTAGCGCCGGGCGTACCCTGGCACACTTTACTCTACTTTGCTCCTACTCTACTCTACTCTACTTCCCTGTCCCACTCTAATTTGCTCTACCTTACCCTATCCAACCGTACCGGGCTATACTCTACTCTAATCTAAGTTGCTTCTATTCTTCTCTACTCCTACATCTACTCTACTCCACTCTACTCCCCACTCTACTCCCTACTCTACTCTACTCTACTCCACTCTACTCTACAATACCCTACCCTACCCTACTGTACTCTATTATACCTTACTCTACTTTACTCTACTCTACTCTACTCTACTCGAGTCTACTCTACTATACTTCTGCTCTGCTCTGCTCTGCCCATCTACTCTTCGCTACCGACTCTATTTGCCCTGCTCTATGCTACCCTACCGTACCAAACTCTACTTTACTCTACTCTACTCTACTTTGCTCTTACTCCGCTTTACTCTGCTCCTTCTCTATTCTACCCTACTCTATCCTAAACCCTTCTACTCTACTCTACTCTACTCTACTCTGCCCTGCTCTAGTCTACCCTACTCTAACCTACTGATCAACTGTTCCCTTCCGTAACCTAACATAGGTTACTTTACATTGCTGCTGCTCTCCTCTAATCTACTCTGACTCTGCTCTAATCTACACTGCTCTACTCTGCTCTACTCTACTCTGCCCCACTCTATTCTACTTTACTCTGCTCTACTGTACTCTACTCCTACTCTGCTCAGTTATGATATACTCGTTTTTCTGCTATACTTTACCCATATACTCTTCTCTACTCGACTCCTTCTCCACTCTAATATGATCTACACCTCCCTGTTCTACTCTACTCTGCTCAGCCCTACTCTACTCTACTCCACCGTTCCCCACCCTGCTTTATTCTGCTCCAGCCTCTACTCTACTCCTATCATACTCCACTCTACGCCTACTCTTCTCTGCTCGTCGTCGGCGTCGTCGTCGTTTTCGTCGTCGTCTTCGTTGTCGACGGCGGCGGCGGCGTCGTCGTCGGCGTCGTCGTCCTCGTCGTCGTCGTCCTCGTCGTCGTCGTCCCCGTGGTGCGTGGTGCATCGTGCGTGGTGCGTCGTCGTCGTCGTCGTCGTAGTCGTCGCCGCCGCCGCCGCCGCCGCCGCCGCCGTCGTCGTCGTCGTCGTCGTCGTCGTCGTCGTCGTCGTCGTCGTCGTCGTCGACGGTGTCGTCGTCGATGCCAGGGGGAGGGATATCTGGACCCCCCAGTGATTTTCCCGGGGAGGGTGTGTGTGTGTGTGTGTGTGTGTGTGTGTGTGTGTGTTGACCCCCCCACAAGTTCTCCCGGTGGAGGGGGGTGCGTTCTGGACCCCCCACTATTTTTACTGGGGGGGGGGGGGCGGGGGGGGGGAGGTACGGACTCCCCCTTGCTGGCAGCGGCAGGAATCGCTCTTTCAAAGCTCCTTACTTCGGCCTTCTGGGCCCTCTGAACATCAGGCACACGCCAACATGGATTAGGGATCCGTGGATCTGGCGCGTAGGCGCCACCTCTAGGAATCGGGAAAATATGTGACCACGGAAATATGACGCCCATGCCGCCGATAGGGTACGCAACTGGGACCCGTCGCTGATCCACGCGCCTGAATCCATGTCTGCGCTTCCTCGATCCCGAACCCCCTGAGAAGGCCCGCCAACTCTGCCCTCCTCCCCTGGGCGCGCCGCCGAAGTTCGACCCTCCCGATGTCTGACGAACACCTCCCGAAGGTCGAGGGCCTGCTCGGCGGCCATGATCTCGCGGTCCGCCAGGGCCTCCTCGGCGGCGGGGGCCTCGGGGCGACGAGGACGACGCCGACGGCAACGCCGAAGACGCCGTCGCAATCCCGCCGCCGCTCCACATAGCTTGCATAACATATACAGCAAAACATGTACTGTAGAACGCGGAATACACCATATATATAGATATACTTATATATAAATATTGCACGACATGGATTGCGCACCAGATAAATCGCAACACATAATTTGCACAAGTATTGCACCATGTCTATTGCATCGTATACATTGCACAGTAAATCTTGGGCAGCATGCATTGCACACCATGTATACGTATATACATATGTATATGGCAAAGCATAGGTTGCACCATGTAGTTTGCAACACATTGGCTGCTCCACCTAGATTGCACGACGCATTTTGCATATGATAGTTCACACCACTGGTATTGCACACATAATTTGTACAACACATGTTGTACCACGTAGATTGCACCACATGTATTGCGCACCATTGCGCAACATATATTGCACAACGCAGATTACACACTCTAGATTGCACAACGCATATTGCCGCACCTAGATGACACCATCTTGTTTGCGCCACGTATATTGCATCACATATATCGCGCCAGTTAAAGTTCACAACGTATATTGCGCACCATACATTTATTTCTATAGGTGTATACACACATATATATATACATATATATATATATATATATTACGCCACACATGCTGCCCCACATAGATGGCCCCACAAACATTGAACAACATATGCTCTACCTCACAGGTATCACCACTCTTACTGTACAACGTAGGTTGCACAACGTCAGTTGCTTGATATATATATATATATATATATATATATATATATATATCACTCGTACCTTGAGGGGTCCAGACGGGTCCCGCCGAACAGACCTAGAAGGGCGCTCTAGAGTGCTCTACAAGGGACTGGGCAGCACGCCGTCAATTGTAATGATGCCTCCCTAGAGCCTCTTCACTGTCGAGAGGGCCGAGAGCGGGGGCGGTGCGGACAATATTATATATGTGATAAGCCCGCACAATCCTCTCAACGATCTCGGGCGAAGGGTGACCATCGAGCCCAAGACGCGTGGAGGGGCAAGCGGGAGGCGGGTCAGGATGGTATACAAGCCTCCAAAGGACAGGGCAATGAATATAGTGCAACATGTCGTCTCGGCATTGGCCGCATTGGAATCTGCGCAGGCCGATCTCTGACGAGTGCAAACGTGCGCTGGTGAGCCAACCTCCTACAATCGTCTTCAGGACAGCACTTTGCCATGCTGGAGGGCCTCCGTTGCGAATGAGATCTCTGAGGGCGCCCCAGAACGATTCCGAAAATGGGAGCTCCCACGAGGCCATGCGCTCAGCAAGGGGGAGGTGGAGGACGTCGGGGTAGAGAGCGAGGCGAAGAGAGGAGGAAAGGGATCTCTGCACCTTCACGCGCCCCAGTTCTGAGGCTTCGGCGAGGGTGGTCAGGGCAGCGCGGGCGGCCGAGGCGTGAGCCTTCAGAGGGGATGCGGCCCTGCTGGCCTCAGAAATGTGGACCACGATCGGTTTTGTTCCCCAGAAGTCGGGCGACCACTAGCCAGAGCCCACCTCCGCGAGGCTGCCGTGGGCGAGCGTCGCCTCATGCAGCGCCTTGAGCAGGTGCGACCAGTTGGTGACCGTGCTGATGGCTGTGCGCATGCGGGAGGCCAGGCTGAGGACTTGCATGCTGGCAGGCCGCAGCGTCGACCAGCTCCCGATTCCCAGGAGTCCAGCGAGCGAGATCGACTGCGGTGGGAGATGCCAGATCTTGTGCCAAGCCCAAGCCTCACGCCTGGACAGGGCGCGGGGCAGTGGCACCAGCTGCGTCAGGTAGCTGAGGGCCGTGAGCACGCGTGAATAGTAGATCACAGTCGTGATGTGCACCGGCGTTCCTTCACGAGCGAGGTCGCGGATGCGATGGATCCATTTGGCGCCGGCCTCCTGCCGCGCGTCATCGATCGCGGCTCCGGGGCCCAGGATATAGCCTAGGTACTTGGCGAAAGGAACAACGTCCATCTGCTCCCAGCCAGGCAGTTCCAGGGCGAGCCACTCCTTGATGTTTGTCGCCAGCTCCACGGAGAATGTGGCATTCAAGGGGGCGACCTTGCACTTGGCCAGCTTCAGGGAAAGACCTGCCAATGCACGTGCTGCAGTGAAGGCCCTGCGCAGGCGGAGAAGAAGCCTGCGATCCTGCAGGACCGCGCCGACATCGTCCGCACAGACGCCCACCACGGAAGACTCCCACTGCTCGAGGATGAGCTCCATGTGTGCCACGAAGGGGTTCATGGTTACAGCCCGCAGGGGCCCTGAGAGCGGGCAGCCCTGAGCGATGCCCGCCGTGACTAGCATGAAGCGTCGCAGCTCGCCCTCCATGGATACGAAGGCCTGCGGCAGCCAGTGCATGCCCATGATGAGCTGGTAGAGGCCGCCCTGGAAGCCAGCCCGCAGCAGCACTGCGCGCAGGAAGGAGACGGCGAGGGAGGGGAAAGCGTTCCCGAAGTCGAAGAGGACCATCAACGGCATGCGCTGGTCCCTGGTGGAGGAGAAGCCCACTCGACGGGCGGCAGTGTCGAGCAAGGTGATGTTGTCCAGGAAGTTGCGCCCAGGTAGGGACCCCCTCAGCGAGGAGGGGGAGTTGCGCTCGATGTCGAACTTGATGAGGTAATTCACACTGGCGGCCAGCAGCTTGACATCCGTGTTCTTGAGGGCCAGAAGTCTCGTCGTGGATGGCGTGCGAGTCGGGCCCGAAACCAGATCGTCAGCCTCGGCACTTTTGGGCAGGAAAACCATCAGGTGATCGTTGAGGCCGGGTGGCGGTGGGAAGCCCTGCGCGACCTCGAGCCCCACCTGCGCCAAATCTTCCAGAGGACGCGATGACCCACAGCAGCTCCAAGCATCATATGGCAGTCCGTCTGGGCCAGGTGCTGAGGCGCGAGCCCTACGCGCCGCTCGCCGAAGATCGCGAGAGTCTGGTAGACGAATGTCCTCGAGGCCGTCGATCACCACGGGATGCTCGTCCAAATAGCGCTGCACAAGGGGGTGTTCGGGCATATCACGCTGGAATATCGGTGACCAGTGCTTGCGCAACTCTTCGAACACGTCAGCCTGAGCATGCGCGATTATTTCCTCTCCCTGTCCCAGGTCATGTGGGCCACCAGCGTCAGGGAGACGCAATCCCTGAAGTTTGAGAGTGCGCTTGAATGGGGTCCAGAGTGCAGCCCTCCGTCTGGTGGCCCTCCTCGTGGCGATGATATGCTTGAAGGATGTGCCGTCAGGAGGAGCCGCCTGCGCCCGACGATCGAGATCAGCGAGTCGGCGTTCAGAGAAGATGTTCTGCTCAGCCGTGAAAGCCACTGCGAAGTCCGAAGGGTTCGAGAGGGAGACCGAGTTGCTGGTGATCAAGAAGTGCTCGGCAGCAAGCGGTGACGATGCGGCCAGGCGCTCCGCCAGCTTGAGATAGCCCCTCCAGACCGCTCTGGCGATCGAGCGGAAGATGAGCAACTTTGAGTCGTTGTCATGAGCACCGTGCTTGAAGACACTGTCCCGTAGTCGACGAGCAGCTTCACGCATGAGTCGCTTATGCTCAAGTCTCCGCTGATAAGGATGCAGAACATGCCATTGTAAGAGCCGATACTGCCTCGCATACTCGGGACTCTTGAAGATGTAACGTGGGATCGGTTGCGTCTCGCTGTCCATCGGCGGCCGGCCAGCAAAGGAAACCGCAATGGGTGCATGACCGCTAAGACCAATTTCGCGCAGCTGTTCATGGAGGTCACGCGTTGAGAGCGTGACGTGCCACTGTATCGCCAACCACGAAGGAGAGGCTAAGAACGCTCTGTCAGTCTGCGACAGCTTCGGCGGCGAACCTTCCTCTTGCCAGAAGTGCGTGGGGAGCTCGTTGTCAAGCTCGACGAAGTCAGAGAATATATCATTCCAGCGGCGCTCCAGTGGCCGAGGCACAGCATCGTCCATGCGCACGAGGCCCTTGTTGACGAGGGGGGTCTGAACCAGCAGGGGCGGCGCCGCCATGATGTTGAAGTCGCCGAGCAGCAGCAACGTGACCATCTTCGGCGCCGACTGGGCCATGGCGATGTCCGAACGAATACGACCTTCGATCATAGTCATCTCGTCGCCACTGATTCCGAAGTTGTGGACGTTATAGATAATGGGCGATGGAGAAGGGGTGTCGGATGCAGGGCCTGAAACGCGGAGTCGCTGAACTCGGCCAGTGACAAGAATCTCATGAGAGTATCTGGGGGCATCAGTAGCTGCGAAGCGCCCAGGGAGAAGAATAACAGTTCCACCAGTGTCACGCCTGTCGCCAACATTCATGAAGACCTTAGCGTGGACATGATGTCGGTGAAGTTCTTGCATACATTCAATGGCATTACCGTGCACCTCCTGAATGCACATCGCCGTGCCCTGTCCGAGGTAAGACAGCAGATGGCGAAACTTGCGGTCCCTCGTGGTGGCATCATGATGCACGAGCGCACGAGCATTCCATGCCTCAATCGCTGCGCACTCGCGAAACTCGCCAGGATCTCGCCAGGGAGCGAAACGAGTGCTAAATAGCCCACTGAATCTTCTCGGTGGAGCCGAAGACTTCGTCGAATGACTGCTTGATGGCATCGCGAGGGAGGTTGCGAGCATGCACGGCACGATAGTTCCACTCAAGGATAGTCGGGTCCTCTGCCGTTTCGCCCACGACCAGCATGATGACGGGCTGCGAGCCGTCGGTAATGACTCCTGCGTGACGGTTGGCACGCCAGCGCCCTTCCACTCCAGCGTCACGCACGAGCTCGAGGAGACGCTTCGTCTGGATCTCGCGGCGGATGGCCTGGGGAGATTTGTCCAGGCCGACGAAGATGGGCACCTGGGTGCCTCCCTCGATAGAGGTCGCTGTGAAGCGGCGCCATGGGCCATCCTTCTTGAGCTTCTGGAAGGCCGAGATGACACGACGGGCAGCCGATCCCTCAGCGCCCCGCATGCGGAGAATGTGGC